TTCCACGGTGCGAACAAAAAAAAAACGCGCCGAATCGAAACGCGAATCGAAACGCTCGTCTTCTTGAGCTTCAACGAACCCCAGAAGACGTCTTCCCCAGCAAGGCTCCATGTAGAGCAGCCATCCACAGGTCTCCTTCCTGGCCTCGCGACGCAGGACGCGCCGCCCGAACACGTCGGAGAGCTTCTCTGGCCCAAACACGGAGGTCTTGCGGGAGATCGATGGACGTCTCAGACCGATCAAGACCGATCAAGAGCGACACGTTTTGGAACTAACATGTTGGGAAGTGGAGCTCACCCCGTGTTTGGATGTGTTTGGTCTTCGGGTTCAATGGTGGTCCGAACGAAAGGGGCCATGCCCTCCACGTAACCATCTTAGTTCCAGGGAGAAAAGTGTCGTAGCCTCCAACAAACCAAACACGTATCAAAGGAAAACATGACCAACTTCTTGACCTGGTGCTTTCTCTTTCTCCTGCGCCTCTACTACTACCACCTGTTCAAAAGATGTCAAAAGCATTGCCAGGCCTGTGCAGCTTGCAGCCGTTCCAGGACCCAGGGCACTCGGTACCAGCTCTCCGCTGGCCGCTGCGACCAACCTAGGTCGGTGTTCTGAAGCGAGTCGGTTGGGTCCGTCCAAGAGATTGAGACCTGCGCCAGGTCTGCCTAGTCACCCCCACATGAACGTGGGAAGAGTCAACTATAATAATACTGGTTTAATACCGGCAAATAGAAACATCTCACTCAAGTCTTGTTGTCACTAGCACGGCATGAGAGAGGTCATTCCCCCAGAGTTGCGGTTCCTTGGGGTTCATTCCCAGGTTTACTCGACTCAACAGTCCTTTCATCCAACCAACGATCCATGATCCACCCATCGTACCCCTAGGTCCGACGTGCTGCCGGCAGACTCTTGGGCTCCGCCTCTGGCCGTGCCAAGGTGAAGGCATAGCCGTGGCGGTCCGCGTAGGCCTTGAGAGTCGAACATTCTGGGGAATCCCCGTCCTGGACTGTTGTTTAATCGGTGAATCGGTGACGTTCGTGAATCGGTGAATCGGTCAATCGATTTCGGTTCCTGGTACTAGTAGGAAGCACTCTCCTCAAATCGCCTGAGGCGTTCATCTCTCAGTCAATATCTCTTCACCTCCCGTACGACCTTCATGGTGGACTGAAGGGTGCCAGCAACTTTCACCGACGAGCCGGCAAGTGTCACCAGATTGCTTTGCAAATACCACAAGAAAAGCCCCTAGGGCCCAAGGGAGTGCAAAGGACACCTTTTGAACTCAGATAATGGAATGCATGCGCTCAGCATTTTGTTTGCGTGCCTAAACTTGAGCTGTAAACTTGAGGCTTTTTTGTTCCCATCGCCTTCAAGCAACCTTTCACATAACCATACATAACCCAAAAACTCCATGTCTGTCATAGTTATATGCCTCCATTGACCCCTCAAACCACCCCAATGTAGGTACAGTAAATATACCATACATGGAGTGTCTGGGTAACATCTGGAAGGTTAAAACAGTATCTGATCCAAGCCCGAAAACTGTGGAGCTGAACTCCGTGTATCTCCAGCCACCTCTGTTTCTCTGAAGATGCTGCCAGCATCTGCCAGCTTGCCAAAGCATGCCAACATGATGTTTCTGAAGATGGCGGAAATTTGTTTAACATCTTGAAGATAAGATGTTCAACATGATGTTCTACTAGGGACCCCAGGCAGCGCCAAGCAGGCTCTGCTGCAGTGAGTTTCTCTGTGCACCCCACAGGCCTTGTTGAGGACAGCATTCATTGACCAAAAAGATTTGGGATTGAAACTGCTTCCCATCAGTTGCTTCTCCTTAGAGACTGGCTTCAAGGATGCTGGCTGGCAATTTTTCAGGAGTACCGGAGTACCTTATCAACAAAGAGAGGCCTCAACTTAAAATACCTTTCAGCCGAGTGCCGAAAAGTAGCAAGCCAAAAAGAATTGTCGTTGACTCCGCAGTTTGCGGCTGGTCGAATGGTCTTTAAGTTTTATGACAGTCAGTCAAAAAAAGTGAAAGATAGCAGGCCTGGAGGCTATTTGACCCAATTTTGGCATGGTTTGGTGATACCGGTAATCGAACGTTTGTGTCTTTTGGAGCAATTTCCGAACTATGCACAAAGAAAAAACATCAAGAACCTATGAAGGCATGCACAGTGCTCACCCCAGAAGTTGTCTGGTCTTATCCAATGCACAACAAACCGTCCAAAACTGCAATAGAGGAACCTCCCTCGAGGGTGCGGGTCGAGCTTCTAGCATGACGATCTCAAACATGCAGCCAGCGAAGCGATCTCCTGGCAGTGTGACCCATCTCTCTGGGAACCCTGATGCGTGATGCTTGATAGAGGACAGCAAACACACCAGCCAACACTTGCTTGAAATTGGACAACACTGGCATATAAGCAAATGTGACTTCCGATTAGAACCCATTGATGCAATTCCACAATGCAGCAAGAAACACAGCCAGCATGAATGTTTGCGTCTGCCGAATCTCGAGACGAGTCTCGGGCAAACAAACGAGGAAAAGGATTCTTGAATATGTTTCCACTTCACAGCTTTTGACTAGAGCATACACTCACCCTGGCATACGAATACGCTTAGAGTTGCAGTATCTAAATACATAAGATTATACCAATGCCAAAATGTCCAAGAAAGATCGTAATCATTGCAAAAACATGACACTTTCTCAGTGGTGTCAAAGGACATGCTTGCTACTGACAAAGGCTGCTCCTGACAAAGGTTGCTGGGAGCGAACATCCAAGGCTGCCACAGTCCCCAGCGCCAGCGCCCACCATCCGCAGCACTGCATGCGTCCGACGCCTGCCGTTCGTCCAACGCTTCACTGGGGCCGACCTGGGGAACATTGAGGAGTGGAGCGAAAACCAGTTATCAGTAGCTTCTTGTTAGGTATAGTAATTATGGCCTCCAACCTACTAGCGATGGCCTCCAAGCATAGCGTCCTTGCTACTAGCGTAGATGGACGAAATATTAAAACCCTTCTAACCACGTGGACCCCTTCCACCCCAAGACTCAATGTTAGAGATCTTGCCAGAGTGTTTCGGCGAATGGACGAACCAAATACAACCTTGGAAGCACATACAATCAAGTCGTGTTCAAAATTGACCTTCGGCCGTCAGGGGTTGATGACAGTTATTGACTCAAGGGATTGAATATTTGGTCCATCTACTGTAGTAACTTTTTGATAGTAACACGATGCGGAGATTAAACATCTGAAAAGCCGATCATGTACGAGTCACCAGCGAGTCAACAAAAGAAGTACTGGAAGCACCGCTCAACAATCGCTGCTGGTGGTTGCAGGGTCTTACCAGCGTTTCTGAGATTCTGATGCGCAAAGTCTGGCACCATCACAATATATCACAACCGCAAGGCCAAAGCGCCTTTCTTTCTTGCATGTACCGAAAGCACAGGTACTTTGGAAATGCATTATAGCAAAAACATAATCGTATATGGTTGTGACATCTTGTGCAAAAAAGACTCACTAGTGATCTAAGCAAGGGCTGCCTGATCTTTGTTCCAATGTTCAGTGGAAGAAGGAAACCGCAGCATACTTCGACGGTTGACAGAACCACTCCAAGGACCCATGTTACCCATGATGCATGTTACTCCAGACGCTTGGTCATCAGTGCAGCGCATGTCCAAGATTCAGTGGTATCAGGTCATATCAGGTCGTGAATTAGCATGGGTGAGGCATGGTGAGGCTAGGAACTCGGGAGATTCCCCCTAAGAAAAAACAATCAGTGCCAAACAATCTCGTACAACAAGTTGTGGAACAAACTCTGACTTCTGAGGACTCAAAAGAAGATTCCCCTCAAGAACTCAATGCTACAGGCCCCGCTACAAAAGGCTATACTCTGACTCACTACCATGGAAGTGGAGAATGGCCCCGAAAGGAAGACTACGAACGAAACAGGGGGGTGAACCGGGTGAACTCCACTTCCTGTGTGACACTCCGAGTGTACTCAACGGGCCAACCGACCACGGCTCGCGAGGTCCCGGCCTGGCCCCCCCGCAGCGGGGCCGGGCGGTCTGCTTCGTTGTCGCCTCGGAGAGACCGACAGGTTCCGGAACCGTCCGAGGCAGCGGACGCTTGAGCATGTCAGAGGTGAGGTATTGACCAGATTCATCGGAATTGGAATCTGAATCTGACATAATCTGATCCAATTCATATGTGAGTCACAGATGAATTGGTGAATCCATCCAATTCATCCCCAAATTCCTTCCAATCGCAACCTTCGATCCTTCTCCAAACCTGGCCTTCGTCGGACGGCATCCTCTCGGCGCTTCGGTGTCAAGACGAAGGGAGTGGGATGACAAGTTGATGACAAGAGTCAAGAGATTCCCTAGGGCTCCAAGTACCTTCGTTTCGAAGGCGTTTGAGATGGCTTTGGAGGGTCCAGTCATACCTTCTGAGGTACGACTGGAGCCCTGGGGATTGTCAATCGGTCTGATGTAGTAGATCACGAAGGGACAGGGATGGAAGAGTCAATTCATGGACCTGGCAATTGCTGGACACCACACATACACCGCTCATGGCCTCCTCTATCCTCGTATCCTTTTGTAAGGGGACTGTCTGCCACCAAGCGTCCCACGGCCAAAATGGCTCTGGGGCTGTCATTTGAGCCCAAAGGACACCAGGCGCTTGAATGACTGGTGGAATCAAGTCCCTTTAGTCTGCAGTATCTGGGGTCCCATCCACCCGTCAGCGTTGTACAAGTGCCAAGGGGTTTAACATGTTGTTAACACTCATGGTGCGCATGGGGGGAGTTTCGGCGCAATTTCAGCGCACACACACTCTATACAGTACAAAAGGAGCTTTCCACACATCCCTTCTTTCAATCACTGCAAATCCCATCCAATTTTACCGAGTACCCTGCACGACCTATCCGCATCTATCAAATGCCCCAGGGATATCCAAGCTCCCAAGAAACAGGAAGGTTGCTGGCTCCCTGTCAAATGGCTTCAATTGCCTCCTCCAACATACCATTCTGGTTGAGATCTTGCAAGCGGAAGAGCTCCTGGACCCACAGAGATTCTTTGCACAGGGCCATGGCTGGTCAAAGACATATACCAACTCATCTACAAAGTATCTAGCTATCCTGCGTTTCTCTAAGTTTCTCTAAGAGTTTTGGGGTTATGACTGTTTGATTAGACAAGGTATCCCGCCGATGCACCTGCATCATCTCCTCCATCCGTTTGCTTCGAAGGCCTCACGACACATGTTCCACACGCTTTGCCGTGCAACGCCACTAGTAGCTGCTTGCTACTGGTAACAAAGGGCATCGCTACTTACTAGGAACAAGGGCATTACTACGGCATTACTACTAGCAGCAAGGACGCTACTATAGTAGCTCTTGGCCTTACTAAAGAAAGAACACCTCCGTCCATGCAAGCGCTTGCGTACTCGTTTTTTAGAAGAGAATGCGCGGGTTCCACATGTTTGACCTCGCCGATCGCCTGGGCCATAACACGGGGCGAAATCGCTCAGGACGTCCCCAAGGTCACCCTTGAACTTCACACAGTCCGCCAGGAAGAGACTTGAACCCACAGATCCCATGGTCAGCCTCAGACATCGTCGGCATCGCATCGGTTCACATGTTCCGGAACCTGTTCCGAGAGGACACGCGGCCCGGTGGGTCGCCCACATGTGAGGTGCGGCCCGGTGATTTGGATCATTGAGATGATGAACATCGGGGCCAAGGGTCCACGTATGATCACATCAAGTGAAACTGGAGTGCATGTCTGAAACAAGAAGGCGATGTCTTCACAGCACCGGCAAACCGGAAGAAAGCCATGTGTCTTGCATTGGCGCCTAGCAATATCAGAAAAAACAATAAAAACGTAAATCTCTGGACGGAATCACGGCCGGCCTCGTTCTTCACTCACCAGCTGGTCACCAGCTGCGCTGCTGTGCTCAGCCCCGAACCCCAGAGATGCGCTGTTGTGCTTGCCGTGTTTTTCAAAGGAGGGGAGTCGTTGAGTTGAACAAAAACATCTCTTCTCAAACGGATGTGAGTCGTTGGATTTCCCAAACCATTCTATATAGCGGAAGAATCTTAGAGACCGGGACCCCGTCCTTATCTGGCACGTCGTCCACATCTGCACTCAATCTGACTCTCTTCGTAGGGATGGAACATTTTCGGACCCCTCCTGCCTTCAACACATCAGACTATGGGGCCTTTTGAAGCATACTAAGTAAGTTGGACTTTGGGTTAGCCTTCCGACAGTTTTTGTTGGATTTGTTTAAAAGATGTTCATCCAGTGGATCCAGCTCTTGGGCCCAGAATCCGCAGCCATGCGCAGCTGATCCAAGAAATTCAGCTGCTCAAAGGAACACTCATTTGGTTGAAACATGTTGAAACTATGCTGAAGCTTCTGCTGGCGGGGGCCCTCAGATAAAGATAGCTGAGAAATGGCCAACAAATGCCAAAAACCATGACACCGTTTCGGTATTTCGAGCAACAGGGGGGTAGGATTTGGCGTTGAGTAACATACCAAGATAAAAAAGAGTCATTGAACAATGAAGAAAACTGATGACGGGCTCCACGAGAAAACCGGGTCCCTCTTCCCAAGCTCCCCGAGTTCAACATGAAGGTGATAGAGTTATTCTATATACCGGCACCCGACTTCACAGGTCACCACCTGACACGTTTAAGTCTCCAAATGCTACCAGAGACCTGTTGAGTCGGGTGCTGGTATATATTGTATAAAAATACTTTATACCGTTCGCCAGCCTTGTCTGCAGCTTGGAACATCAACCTACCAATTTGGTGGGACAGTCTTCATGCCTCCAGAAGGCTTGCCACTCTTGACAAGTCTAAAAAGGTGCCCAGTGCAGCCCCTGGATGCCCCTGGGTCGTGACCCACCTGGAGCCGCGAATGAGACCGGACCTCGTACCCGGTCGACCTACCGTTTGAGGGCACGTTTACCACACCAAAGAGGTCTTAGACAAGTGGAGGTCCATATAGGTCCACATCAAGACCACCAAACTTGGGGATTGTGCCATCTACTTTGAAACCACAGTATTCATCGCTTGATGGGAGGACGGAAAGGCTATCGGCTATCGTCTTCAACACAGGCAAATCTTCCAGTTTTGAGATGCAACCAAGGTCTTCAACTTCAACCTCATCCGGCTCGACCACACTGATGCAAGGTTTCAGCTTCGTAGTTATAGTAGTGATGACACTTTGGACAATGGGCGCAGCTTCTTCCCCAAAGAATCCCAAAGATATGGGGTCTGGATGGGTCTGGGGTCTGCCCTCTGCCTGGTGTCTGCCCAGTGGCTCGCTACTCAAGACACGTCGTCCCAACGAAACAGTTCCGCCGTCTCACCAAGTCTCCGTCGCGCTGGACTGTTGAGGTCAGGGTCCCACACAGAACGCCGTTCCGCTTTTGTACCTTTCCAGATCCATCTGACATCTTTGACTCCACTGGCTCTTGGAGCTCTGGAGGTTTCAGCCATTTTTCCAGGCGTGCAAGGTTCCTAAACTTCCTCGGTAAGCGAGCTGAGAACAGCTAAAACTACACTCACCACTGGGCCGGATGCTCGGATGCGCAAGTGGGCGCTGTCCCAAAAACAGAATACAGGACAGGAGATGTCCCCTTCATCCTGGACCTGAACATCTTACTTTGCGTACCATTGGATTTGGATGCATGTCCGTGGTTCCGACTCTTGGACAGGACTCCCCACCTTTCCCGCCCACGGCGCGCCGTCGCGAGACATCCTTGACAGAAAACGCTCGTCGTCGGCCCGGTGAGTCTTCCATTGCTAAAAGTTCAGCTCGAGCATCGCTGGGTGTGGCCAATTGGCTGGGACTGTGGAGGTTTGGCCAATTCGCTGAGCGTTCTGAAAGCTGATTGAAAAGCTGTGCAGGTGGGTGCTAGAATTCTGTGAAAAAATAAGGCTGACAAGCAAGGCTGCAGCACTGAGAGAAAAAAAAAAGGACGTCTTTCGGTCTGTGAGTTCACCCTTTGATCTCCGGGCCGTCCGAGTTCTTTCGGGTCTTCGGAAGGTCGGTGCCCCTTCACACGATAGAGGCGGCGCTCCGCGCCCGGGGATGTACCGGGTTCACACCGGGAGGAGCTTTGCAAAGGACTGACCATGGACTGAAGCGACTGAGGCCACAACTGAGAGATTTCACATGAACCCAAACATCCCAAACCAACTTGCCTATGCTTGAAGTGGTTCAAATGGTTCTCTCAAAGACTGCAATTGAACTAACTAAGGCCCAAGAGAGTGTTGCGAAGTAGTCCTAGTTTGTCCCAGTTTGTAGATTGATACTGATACAGCTATATAAAATCACAACAACAAATTGGAGGCAGCTTCAAAACCGCAACGGATGCCGAGCTACAGGCTGACCTCGAAAAGCCGAGGAACAACCACCCCGCCGTTTGTCAACAAAGCCGTTTGCACTCCAAAGCTCGATTGAGCAGGTTCTAAGCTGGCAACATCTACTGAAAACACGAATATGGCTTTAATGTATATATAACATTGATTAAACCCCCTTAAGCTTAAACAGGATTTCCAAATGAGGAGGGTTATTGATCCTATTGGCGGAACATGGGTCAAAACCAAGGGACCCTAAACCCTATGGCGCTATGGCTATGGGTCGATTTCGGTGGCTTGGTGGTGTTCGGCTCCAGGTGTTGGGCGTTTGCCCATCCCTTTTCTTGCTGCCTTCAAGACCAAAAAAGTGTCCTGCCTGGAATGCATGGCACGTTGTTCATCCAAGTCCGAGCAATTGCCCCATCCACGGACCATCCGCCGGGGCGAAAAGCACAGGTTTCCAGTCGAGGAAGGCCTGTGTGGTGCCTTTGGGCTCGTCCACGGGAGTCCCCTTCCCGAAATCAAGGCATCAGCTGTGACTCTGGCCGCATCACGACATTGCTGCGTGGGTCTTCCAAGAAAAAAGGACACACCAACTTCCCAAGGAAACCGGAAAGAGGCTATTGGAACATATTGGAACCCTCTCACGGAAAATCTTGTTGTCTCACTTGCCGCAACCGATAACTTGCTGGTTGTGACCCCCCACATAGGTACAAACCAAAAGTCACTGGTTCCTCCACTACCCAGAGCTGTTTTATGATATTCAATGGCAAAATCACATCAGCATTGAGATCTTCATGCGCAACACTCATGTACAAGCAAATAGCGAGAAACACAAACCACCATGCAGCAGTAATGTCCAATAGGACTTCTTGACCAGGTAGAATTGTAACATGGGGGAGGCAAAGGATAGTTATATGCTTCAACGAAATGGATTTTAATATCAAAACGAACACAAAGGATCTCCACCGCCTAGGAGCAAAGCCAAGTCTTAGATGGTTGCTCGCAAGAGCTAGGATCAGAATGAAGTCCCACTTTACACGCATTAGCCCTTGACTGAAAAAAGCGCAAAAGGAAAGGTGGTGGGTCCGCGGATTTGAAGGTGTTAGTTATAACAATGTTTTTTGGACTGGACTGCTGGAGGCCTTCGAGTTGGTTAGAAATTCGAGCAGGTACACAGAGCTGATCAGGCTTTGCTTCCAGCACAAGTGGATAGCTTCGTTGGGTGCAGTCTCCACTGTGCTCTGCACCCCCCTGCCTTGTTGAAATTACTTTGAAACAGGTGTGGACACACACACCAGGCCGCTATCGGCGCTCAGGAAGTTTAGTAATCACCTAACAAGCCTTAGCAAGAAAAAGAAAAGCAAGACAGAAAGAAAACCGAAAAGGGCAGGAGATAAAGATAGGCGTAGTTACGAACCCCCTTAGTTATGAAACCTGCAAGGTAGTTGCTGATTACTTAGCCGCTCCCGCCTGTTTAAACACTTCGTTAAAACAGGTGTGGACTTATGCACACACCAGGCCGATTTCGGCGCTCAGAAAGTTTTAGTAGTCACCTAACAAGCCTTAGCGAGCAAAGAAAAGAAAAGAAAAGACAGAAAGAGAAACCGAAGAGGGCAGGAGAGAAAGATAGGTGTAGTTACGAGGCCCACTAGTGACGAGGTCTGTTAGTTACAATACGTGCAGAAGTTAGCGAGCGGGACTTTAGTCTTATACCGCCCGGGTAGCTAGAAGTAGGACAGGAGAAATAGAAGGAAATCGCACTCAACACACTAGTTAGTGGGTGGGATAGCAACGAAGGCATTGTCACCTTTGACATTCAAGCCGATTTTGGGGCCGGCGGACCCGTTTCTGAAAAGCACCTGCAGCCTGGAACCTAAAGAAAGGCCTCAAGAAACGAAAAGCAACAGCAACAGAGAAGGAACTCAAGAACATGACAAGCGCATGCAACTGAAAAAGTCACTCACGTTCCTCGCTCTCCTCCGGCCTGTGAATACTTAGCAGCATCAAGTAAACCCGCGTTTGGCACATCTTTGACTGAAGCCTAAAGAAACCTAAAGAAAGGCCTCCAGAAAAAGAACAGCAACAGCAGGAAAGAAAAACCCAAACGGACCCCCCAAAAAAGAAAACATACACTCTCGTTTCTCGCTCTCTTCCGGCCTGTGAATACTTAGCAGCATGACGTGGACATTTGAATACTTAGCCGCATGCAAGAATCCTGACTGGAATTTGATCTCAGTAAGCACTGCGGCGTAGAATCAGTGGTATCGTGCAAAGCAGTCAATCAAGGGGGTTGCAGCGGGGTTGCAGAACGAAGTCCCAGTGCAGAGACGGAGCGTTCAGGGTGGGTCCCCCAGGATCTGGGTCTATGCACATGCAGCGCCCCTCGATGGGGACCACACCACAGCCCTCAGTGGGACTCTGAGGCGATACACACTTGGATGGTTGCTCGCAAGAGCTAGGATCAGAATGAAGTCCCACTTTACACGCATTAGCCCTTGACTGAAAAAAGCGCAAAAGGAAAGGTGGTGGGTCCGCGGATTTGAAGGTGTTACAACAATGTTTTTTGGACTGGACTGCTGGAGGCCTTCGAGTTGGTTAGAAATTCGAGCAGGTACACAGAG